ATTTATGTTTGAGCCGTGTCTGACTGAGGGGAGCGGCAGGACAGTGAGAGCACACAGCTGCCATTGCAGCTCTAGCTCGTGGCCCATGCACCCCCAAATCATAGATATCTGAATTCATCAGAGGTTCAGCAGTGTTTTAAAGGGGAAATGTTCAGCTGTGCTGGACCGTGCTGGGGCCAGCCAGGGGTGACATCCTGTTGGGCCTGTATCCCAGTGGGGACCAAGCGTGTCAGACTTAGGGAGGTTCTTGTTAGGGAAAATAAGTTGTGCTTAGGGTCATGGTCCTCTTGATTTTCCTAGAATGCCTGAGTAATTCTAGCTGACTGGATCTAGTTCTGTACGGGCTTGTTTTGTGCTTCCAGTGCCTTCTGAGATTTGTACTCTTGGGCAGGTTGCATCACTATGTAAATTGAAAAGAAACCCGTAGAAAAAGTGGGGTTCACAGGTGCCACACCTGGAAGAGGGCAGCCTTGGGCCACCTGCTCTCTCCTGAACAGCTGAGAATTTTGCAATAGACAAGGCAGAAGCGGGAGTGCTCCTAGGCTTTCCTTCCTTGCAGCTCCATGTTAATGCATCAAGGCATGCAGGGGTCAAGGGAACAGCAAGGATAATCTGGTGTCGCTGTGCCGAAGCCTGCCTCATCCAGCACGCAGAGTGTAGTGTTCTTCGTTGGGGGTGTGGAGTCGTGTCTGTGAATGGTGGCCAGCGCCGGTGCCTTCTCCCTGGCAGTGGATTCCACAGTGAGCTTAGGACGCTAAAACCTTTCTGTGCATTGCGCTCTCAAAGTGAAAGAACTCTGAGGTTTCGGGTTTGGTTTGGTGTTGGGTTTGGGGTCACATCTGTTGGTGCTAGGGGCTTACTCCTTGCTCTGTGCTCAAGGATAATTCCTGGTGGGGCTTGGGGGGGGCACATAGGGTGCTGAGGACGGATCCGGGGTCAGCTGCACATGTAAGGAAGTGCCCTACCTTCTGTACTATCACTCCAACCCTCTATCTATGTGGATTTTGCGAGAGTATTTTCATTGCCTGGAGACCGTTTACCACCATTCATCTCTTCCTGTTAGGGGACCCAGGAAATTAGTTCATTCAAGCCTTGGGATTCTATCACAGGTGTCCCAAAATGAGTTCCTTCTCGGTTCTTGCTTGCTGAGTCAGTTTGTTGATGGAAACAATATGCCCAACCCCAAGGAATGAATCATAACCAGGTGCTCCACACACACACACACACACACACACACACACACACACACACACTCCTTACTTCCTTGGCCAGCCCCCTGCTCCTGCTCCTTTGCGGCCCTTTGACCATGTGCCTTTGCTCTGTGCAAGGATTTATCAGGAGATTTTGGCCGAGCACTTATACAGTGTCTGCTGAATGAGAGAAAGATCAGAGCTTTAGGAAGAGGAAGCCTCTGATTATTTTTTTTTCTTGTTGGGGATCTGGTGTGCAAGCTGGAGGTTGGGCAGCCATTCTGCAACCACAAAGCTCTGAGAAGGAAGCAACACAAAGGCATGGAGGCACAGGAAATGGAGAAGAGGCGAGCAACCCAGGTCTTGGGGCCATTGTCTCCATCTCTCTTGTTGTATAGGATCATTGAGAGCTTTACTGACTTGGTTACCATGACTCAGGTAATATTTTTTGCAAATAAAAGTGTACTTAATAGATATCTCTGGTCTCCTGCCACTTGGCTGGGAAAGGTTCTGCTGACAATTAATTTCATGATGCAATCAGTTAACTTTATCAGCAAAACAGGGATGAAAGTTTTCACCTCTAGCAAACCTTGTAGCAAAAACTTTGGTCAGAAATCAAAGTTATGTTCTATGGCTCTGCAAATGCATATTCCCCAGGAATTTTCCAAACTCTCGATTCTCCCACCCAAGTCATGTGAAATCACTCTTTGTGGGTAGGGCCAGCAAGCAATATTGGTGTGAGGCCTCCAGGCATCCATGGCGAGAGGAAGAAGCGGTGGGAGGGTCCAGTGGAATGATTGCTTGTCAGACATTGGGGAACTTGAAACTGCTTCTCAAATTCTACCTGGGAATTCTGGTTCCATATCCTGAAGTGTAGCCCATCAATTTATATTCCCCAAAGCAATCCCACTCCCAGCAGTGATTCTGAATTAAAACCAGGCTTTTGAACTAGTAGATTTGTGTGAGATCAGGTCATTTTTCGTAAGGCTGAAGAAATGAACTGGAATGTCTCAGGGATGGGATGGGCGGGTGGGTGGGGCTGATTGTGAATTTTCCAACCTGATAGGTAAGGTGAATTCTTGATCTTAGATACTCTTTGGGGGTAAGGGGCATACTTATCTGTGCCCAGAGCTAACTCCTGGCTCTGCTTAGGGATCACTACCAACAGTGCTTAGAGGACCATATAGGGTGCTGGGGATCAAACCTAGGTCATCTGTGTACAAAGCAAAGCACTTTAACCCCGGAATTATCTCTCCAGTCCCTCAGATGTTCTTCTTACCTCTAAAAGTCCTAAGATACCACCTTCAACTCTGCAGATCTGACTGAACAAGCAAATAGAATTTGGGTAGTTGTACAGGCACTCGTGAGCCGCAAGAATAGGAGCCTCGAAGTTTTCTGAACTTCGTAAAGCAGCCTTACCACCCACCCAGCCAGACCCAGCAAATGCAAAACAGGTTTTCTCTGCTGCCTTTACCAGGTCTATGAAGCAGCAGGCTTGCACTTTAGATGTTCATTTATAGAGTGTCAGACTACACCTGCTCCACACAAGGCTTGTGCTTTGGGCTTATTTGGAAAATATTATTTTAAAATAACATCTTTCAGGAATCGTGCCCCCTAAAATATGCTGCTTGTGAAGGATCAGAACCTCCAGTAAGCGTCATACTCCTTGTCCAACCAAAGGTCATTTCCCATCCCTGGCTTTTACCTCTATGCTGGAGATGCCCATCCCTGCACCCACATAATTCCAGGAAACTGCCATCCATCCAGACGCTGCCTTCTTGCTCCTAAGCCAGGGTTGACGTCCAGGATGCTTTGGAAAACTAATCAATCCTCGAATGGGTTGTTTTTGGAAGATATCAGTTTATTGATTTGAAAACCAAAAAATCAAGGAAGAAAATTCACCCTTCTTCCTTTCTTTTCCCTGTGAAATATACCTGAGAGTAATCCAAGAGTTGATGAGGAGGATTTGGGATTCATAGAAGTTATTAATTGAAAAAGGAGTGATGGAAGCAGAATGTGATTTTTTTTTTTTTTGCCAATTCACTGAGCTAGCGGATTTAGGAAGAGACTCTCGTGACTGTTAATATTACAAAAACGGGCAAACTCTGAGACTCTAAATTGTCAGTTGTGTTCTCTACCTTGTTACTTGATTTTCCTTTCACCTCAAGTAAAAAGATCTGATTCTCCCCTATTTTAAAGAAAACACCTGGGGGAGCAGGAGAGTGGAACAGTGGTGGAGAGTTATTGACTAGGGTGGAGGAGGTTAAGTAGCATTGCAAATATAAGACAATAACATGGGAACTGTTATAAACCTCATTATCTCAATGAAAATGCGGGGCAGATATTTGAACTATTAGAATTTATATTGTACAGCTAAAACAATGTCCTCTTTTTTGTTAGTATATATAGATGTTGATTTATGATGATGAATGCATGAAATTTACATAATATAATGCAAAGTTATTTCAACAGAAGTATTTTTAATTAAAAATACAAAGAAGCAAGGATATCTTCTACCAGAAATTGTAACATTGTCTATAGTCTTAGGGGGGGAAATTTTGCACCTGAATCTGACTATGGTCTATAGAATTTCCCAAGTTTCTTTAACTTGAACTTTCACCTCACAGACAGAATGCAAAGGAGCTTCACAACTCTCTGTATTTACCAACTGTCCCCTTTTATTTCTCTCCCTATGAGCAACTTTTTCTTTTTCTTTTTTTTTCAAGATGCTGGAACACTTCTACCCTTTGTCTCTGTAGTTCAGCTGTCTGGGGTAGGGGTTGATCCTTCCTTGCCATCTTATAGGAAGATTATTCTGAAAGGGAGGGCCTTTGGAGTAACCTCCCCAGTAATTTGTTTTAAATCATGGGGAACTAGGATCTGTCTTTATGTTCTTCCTTCTGGGTGGTTACTATTTCCCAAAGGACTTCTAAGTACTCCCAGAGCACGGGTTTATGGAAAAGTATGTTTTATTTATGTTGTCCAATTCTCAAGTGGAAATCTTATATTCATTCATTCAACCATCCAGCCTTCCATCCATCCAATCTTCCAACCGTTCATGCACATCTTTTAGAATGCGCTCATGTCCAACAACTATACCACTTAAATTTATAAAATGGTAATTATGATTTTTTTAAACCAATACTCCATGACTGGCACTAATCTGAAGTGGTTTGCCTGAATAAACTCATTTAGCTAGTTCTGTTTTTATGTCAGTTTTGCAGGTGGGGAAACTGAGGACAAAAGGGTTAGGCAGGGTAAGTGGGTCCTGGTATCTGAGTTCACAAAGCCTGGTTCCAGGGTGAGCCCAGCTCACGGAGAGATTCAGCAGGAAGAGAGGAGAGCCTGGAAGCATGGGGAAGCAGGACTGTCAGAAGGAAAAGAAACGAGAGAGGAATTTTCAAAAAAAAAAGAGAGAGAGATTTTTTCTTTTGAAGTTAAACTTATTTTTGAGATTCCTGGAAACTGAAGTATAAAATTGTCCAGGTTCCCTTAGACACAGCTGTTTAGTGGGAAGAAGTGTGGATTAGAAGTTGGAAAACCTGGGGTCTAATCTGGCTCTTCCGCCATCTGTGTGTGACCCAGAAAAGTTACTTCTTCCCTCTGGGCCAGCTTCTCGAGCTTGAATAAAGGGAGCTATTCTGCCTGTCCATCGGAGGGTAATGACACGGATCTGTTCAACAGTGCTGTGAAGAAAAGCGTTCTCTGAGAAAGCACCAAGGACTCAGGAAGACTTTAGTTTACATTTAAGTGTCAGAAATCCCTGCTCTTCAAATGCTTCTTTTCAGGCACCATATTTGTATGTCTTGTAGAACTCCTGCCTGGAAATGCTGACCACGGGCCTCCTAACAGCGGAGCCCCACTGAACACCAAGAAAACTCATGGCTCTGGCTGCATCTTTCAACATGACGGATCCACAGTAAGTGAGCAAGCCCTGGAAGTGCTCTCTCTCTGCTGGGGAGCTGGTTAAAATCCCAGTCACACCGAAAGCCTCCTTCCCCAACCCTCTGGAAATGGTGTTTGTGTATGTGTGTGTGTGGGGGGGGGGGTTAATCTTCAACATCTAGGGAGTTTTTGTCTTTGAGCCTCACATTAAGTGGCCTGGTAAAAATCTGCTCCTCTGAGTTGCCTCACTGCCATCTTATTTTTTTTAGTTCAAAAAAAAAAAAGCAGAATTCTGCAATTCAAAACCTGTGCTATAAATCTCCCAAAGACATGAATGTTCTAAATAAGACAAAGATCTTCTAATTCTGCCTGCCACTTTACACACTGCCTTTAGCCACAGAAAATAGGGGAAGCACTCAGAAGTGAACCTGGGGCAGGATTAAGGGGAGGATTAAGGTGAATTAAGAAGATGGAAATTGCAGAGAGATTCAGAAATCATCAGAGGGTCCCTAAAAATAAACTTTATGAACCCTGCAGAGGCAGGACACTTCAGAGAGAATTCCCTTTTGCTCCCAAACTTTGATACTGTCAGGTGGACCAGCCACTTCATCTCACCAAACACCAGAAGGGTCCTTTAGTGTGTGTGTTTTGCATTGCACCAAATTAGGAAAATTTCCAGTAGGAGAGAAGCTCGCCTGTTATAACCCTCGTCCCAGCCTGACTGTGTCATTTGGCGCAAGGACCCCGCAGTACCTGTTACCCAGTAAAGCCATGCCACAGCCAACTAGACTTTTGCAGAGTGCAACGTATCTGTGTTGACCAGACCGCCCTGTTAGATAAGGGGCTTGGCTGGTAGCTGATGTCCGTGAACTTGGACCGGGTTGTGTGTGTTTCTCAGATTTCCCCAGGTCTAGGCCAGATAACTTTTGTATGCCCAATGCGGGCTGCAAGACTGCAAAAAGAAGTCCAAGGAGTGCCTTTGCTTGCTTCTGCTAACATCTCATTGGTCCAAACAAGTCACATGACTATATCCAGCCCCCCCCCCAAACACTTTGTGGGCGGAGCTCCTGAGTCACGTGGGAAAGGGAGGGATAAAGAATAACTGTGCCAGGTGGTGCCTCGTGTTCAGGGTGGGCATGACTGTCGGGGCAGAGGAGAATCCTCTCCCGCCCCCTCCAGCTTCTTTCCAGGCTTGTCACGCAAACAACATCAGAGGGGAGGAGAAAAAGAACAGAATTTCACTGTATCTGTATGGAGAACTTCCACAGTTATAATTCTAGGGTAAATAAGACAGACGAAGGATTTTATGTGTGCTCTCATACATGGGTGAGCAGCTTGGAGCATCAAGGAGAGAGGAGGGGGACTCGCATGGCAAAACTCGCATGGCAAAAACAAAACCAAAACTTCTCCGTGGAAGTGAAATTAGGGGGTGACCTTCCACCTGGGTGGCCTTCATTCTTCCGGCTGTCATGGTGACAGCTCCCTCCATTAATCTTAGCTTCACATGCCAAAGGGGCAGGTACCGGGGAAAGCTGCTCCGAGGGGAGGCTGTTTTCATTCCGGACTCAGGCAGGGAGTGTAAGACCCTGACTTGGAGCCAGAGAGATACTACATAGGGTTAGGCACTTAACCTTGCACACGGGCCAACGGATTCAACCTGGCACCACCTATGAGCCCCCTAGCACTGCCAGGAGTGATCCCTGGGCATACATTTCTGAGCACAGCCCGGTGTGACCCCCAACAAAGCATGCACGCACGCGCGTGCACATACACGCACACACACACACACACACACACACACACACTCACACCATTTTCTCCACCAAAGAGGATTTTTTAGCTCCCTGCCGATCACTGATCGTATAACCAGAAATGAAGCTGGGCTTCTCGGAGGGAGGGAAACAGTCAGCAGGCAGAAGTACTCCTGTGATCCTTGGAACTCCCTCCTGCGAGTCTCACAAACTTGCCCCAGCTTCCCCTGAACACCCCCGTTGATCAGAAAACTCGTTTGTTCAGTCAAGCAAGCCCTGGCTTCCTTGCATAGTTCCAAAGAGAGAAAATTCCACTGAGCCTCTTATATTTTGGAAACATCTGGAGGAACTGGGATTTCCCCCCCACCCCCACCCCCCGTCAACACCCACCTCTTGACTCCACCGCTGAGAAACGCAGCCTCCCTTCCTCTGACTGTTCTGTCTGACGATCTTGAGTCATTTTGTAAATGTCACACGATGATGAGTACTATTGTGTGTACTTGACAGGTAGCAAAAAAGCAAAGGTTGAAGTCAGGTCTAAAAAGAGAACTGGGGCCCCACAGATGAGTCGGTGCATTCGGGGGCTTTAGGCAGCCAACCTGTGGCATTCAAATCAACATCCCACTTTCTCTCAATGATCCAGATGAATCAAGCAAACGGAAGGGAGTCTTGCTCTGCCCTGGATTTCCTGGATAGCTGCCACGTTGGGAGCCTTGAAAATTTGTTCCCTTTTCATGGTGCGAGGGAGACAGCCGAATGGGAGCTCCACACCCAGATAGGGCCCTTCCCTCCAGAGCTTCTGCCCCGACCGAGGGCAAGCCACAGCGTGAGGAGGGACAGCCCCGAGGAACCTCCATTTCACCTCCTTGTTGGAGATTTGGAGGTCCCAGAGGAACTTTCAGAAGACTCCTTGGCATTCAAACTACTCTCTCTTCCACAGCACCATTGGGTGCTGTTCTGGTATCCCCACCACCACCCCACCCCAACCCTGTACTGCCAGGTATGACTCCAAAAGCCCCCAAGCACCACTGGAGTGGTCCCAGATAATCTCTGGCACACAGGGGCGGGCAACACCACATCCTCTGATCCTGACACTGAACCTCTGGTCCCCCCCGCCCCCGGCCTCCTGAGCACCACTTAGGAGCCCTCTTCAGTAATAAAATAACCTCTTGGGCAAGAACCAAGTTCAAAGGACTGTAGCGAATGCTCAGAACATACACACGAGACCCCATGTTAGATTCCCCAGCACCACCTACCCCTGTCTCTGTGCCACCAGATATAGCCCTGGTGAGCCCAGAGCCCTGCCGGGCTCAAGCACCAGGATCATGAGGCTCACACGGCCAGGCCAACGGTCACCAGCAGTGATACCCCCAAGCTCCAAACACACTCGCAAAACTTGCCTTGTTGTGCTTTTCACCTATTTAATGTTTCCAGGGGTGCAAGGTCCAGCCCTTCAGGGGTCCCCACAGACCTGTACAAGGAGCTAAGCCTTCGCAGAACACACAATGGGGGCACCGGCGTGGTTGGGGGGGGGGGCGCGCGTGCTGTCCCCACTCTTACTTGTGTCAACAGTGACCCCCTGTGGCCACTGGCACTGACAGGTTGCCTCTAAGGATTGCATCCCCTGGTGGAGTGGGCTGGGAGGTGGCACTGCCCTGCCCGGAACTGCCATGGGGCTGCCACCTGTTTTCAGTGTCCTTGGAGAGCCGAGATGACATAAGAGGGGACGACCCCTCAGCGGCTCCAGTGGCCGCACCCCGCCTCCCAACCTGACAGAGCAAGGTGCTGCGGAGGCCACCAGGGGGCCGGCCACATGCCTGGCAAGCCTGTTTCAGGCCCCAACTTTGATCCCTGGCAACCCCCACCCAGCAGTGCCAGGTGTGGTCCTAGTAGCCCCTGGCATTGCCAGGGTTGGGCAGCTCCAGGAATGGTCCCTGGCCCCTGAGCACTGCTCCTGCACCCCAAAGAGCCCAACTGTTTCCCGGAGATGGGGGATCACTGCCTCCCGCCTCCTCCTGGCCCAATGCCCACTGACCTCGGTCTCTTGGGGTCTTCAGGTGAGGTCACAGCCACCAGCAGTACAGCCAGTTGTCCCCATAACCGCTTTGTCGGTGAACGGGGGTAGAAAATGGTTCTAAAGGGCCATTACCTGGAAACCCGGGGGCCCGGAGCTGACCCCACGCTGGAGTGCAGAGGCCAAGAGGCCGAGAAGGCTCAGCCTTGGAGTGCTCGCGCAGGGTTCTCCCGGCCCCTCCTACCCCGTGATGAAGGATCCTGCCCCAAATTCCCCTATTTCCAGTCCAAGTCGCTCCCATCCCTGGGAAAGAGAACGGGACTGGTAGGGCCTCACCCAGCTCGCCTGTGAGTGAGTCCTGAGGAGAACGACAGCCTTGCCTCTCCCCCCAAGACTTTGTCGGGTTGCGGGGCGCCCTCCCTCCATCCTCGGGGGGAAGAGAACCCCTGTTGTTTCCCTCTGAGGGGGCTGATTCTGCCCCGTGCCCTGCTCCCCGCTGCAGGCCTGCCCGCAAAGGAGGGATTTCTGAAGTGGAGGTGATCTCCCAACAAGTAGACGAGGAGGCCCGGAGCATTGCCCCCGTGCCACTGGTCAACTTTGCCTGTCGGGACTTGCCCCTGGCTGCCGTGGACCTCTCCTCAGCCGGCTCGCAGCTCCTGTCAAACCTGGATGAAGATTACCAAAGAGAAGGGTAAGTGTGGGGCAGCCGGACGCCAGTGATCAGGCGTGTCCCTGAGGGTCCCCTGTGCAGCTTCAGGGAGATGAGGGGTACAGAGGAGGAGGAAGAGCCAGATACACACACACACACACACACACACACACACACACCATGTAGCCCCATTTTCCCTGGGGCCCCCAACTCATCATTGCTAGCCAAGCTCCGGGCCGATGTCCGCTGGAAATTCAGAAGATGGCCTATTTGGCAGCTGACACACACAAGATCCGGAGATGTCACCTACTCTGCGTCCAGCAGGGGGTCAGGGGCATGCCCTAGGTGACAGCACCCGTGAAGGGGAGAGGGGCTAGACCCACCTTACATTTATCAGATTCCCAGCAGGGAAGGGCCCTGGAAACAGGGTGTGGCCAGATGCCCAGTGTGGGCTCAGCACAGCTGGGAATTTGGCCCCCCAGTCTGTAGCCCACCTTTGTGCCAGGACATTTGACCCCCAGCTTCCAGGCACAGGGGGCGCCCCCTGCTGTTTCTTAGCTTGTCAGACCACCTGGATGCCTTTCCTACACTTAACTGTTCACTTACTCGTGCTGGTTGGTTTGTTTGGGGGGCCACACCCAGTAGTGCTCAGGGATCACGCCTGGCAGGGCTTGGGGAACCACACGGGATGCAAGTCAGCCCTGTGCAGGCAAGCGCCCTACCCGCTGTACTCTCATTCCGGCCCCTGGCTTGTTTTATTTTTAAATTAAGCTTAATCATAGGCTCCATAATTTGCAATATTGCTAATGAGAGTGTTTCATGAATAGCATGGTCCAACACCACAAAGGTGACCTCCTCCCCCAGCTCACAGTCCCGCCCTGGTAAGCCAGTTCTGTGGAGCAGTTCTCAGCTGGGGCGTTTGCTGCCTCTTTGGGCGTTGTCTGTTTTTCCTTAGTAAGGTAAAGGTAAGGTAAAGGCCCTCCCGTTGATCGTCGATTTGCTCGAGCGGGCCCAGTAACGTCTCCATCGGAGACTTTGTTGTTACTGTGTCTGGCATATCGAATACTCTCAGTAGCTTGCCGGGCTCTCCGAGAGGGGCGGAGGAATCGAACTCGGGTCGGCCATGTTGGCCGCTTGTAAGGCGAACGCCCTACCCGCTGTGCTATCGCTCCATCCCACATACGAGAGAGCTCATTCTGTGCCTGTCCCCCTCCTTTTGGCCAACTTCACTCAGCAAGATGCTATCCAGATTCATCCACATCGTGGCAGATTGCATGATTTTGTCTCATGGCCCAGTAACATTCCATCGTGTATGCACATACGATGGTGTCTTTATCGGTCCCTGTTCTTGAGCACTTGGGTTGTGTTTCCAAATTTTGGCTGTTGTGAATGATTTTTATTTGTTTTAATAGGAGTCACTCCCGGTGCTGCTCAGGGGGCTCAGAACCACCCCCAGAGATGCTTGTCCCAGCAGTGTGGATCTGATAGTTGGGTGACTGTTCCATTGATGCTCTGGGGCGACCAGGGTCATGCTAACAGTGGCAAGGGGTCAGTTGAGGTTTGTGGTGGCCAGGGGTCGAATTTAGGGGCTCATACATACCAAGCATGTGCTCCCTCTTCACAGGCATGTGCTGTACTGGCCCTGGTCTGATCTGGTTTTATGAGGGATTTTTTTTTCTCCAAATCCAACAATGCTCAGATTTTTTTTTTCCTGGCTCTTCACCCAGGAATCACTCCTGGTGGTGCTCAGGGGGACCAGATGGGATGCCGGGGATTGAACTCAGGTGGACCGCATGAAAAGCAAGTGCCCTACCCTCTGTACTGTCACTCCGGCACCCAGTCTGGTCTGTTTAACAAACATAGCACCACCTGTCTGAAGGTGCAGACAGCCTGGAGCTGAGAAATCTCTTACGTTGCCTCCATTTTCCATGGGGGCCGGGTGGGCAAGTAGTTAAGGTCAGAGAAGGGAAGAAGCAAGCCCAAGGGTGGCACAGCAGGCCAGACCAGCCCCACAAACCTTGCTGCTCCTGGACACAGAATTTGGAACCTGGGCCAGGAACCAGCTTAGAAGCTAGTCTTGAGCCACTCTTGCTGGAATATCTCCAAAGTTCTGGAAACTCACTTGCCACTTTGAAGCGAAAGGTGAAGGGCTGCCGAACTAGCCTGTTGTGAGGGTGAGAGAAAGCGTTGAGCCCAGGCTCAATGCGCAGAGGAGCCCTCCCTTCCCAACGTCAGTGGGCTAGCGGTTATGCAACAGTTCACCTTTTGCAAAAATGGCACCCCAGTGACCGTGTCTGAAAATAGAAGTTTTCTGCAAGCATTGTGCATGGAGCAGGGTAGGAACCGGGGGGGAAGGGGGCAGGGGGAGGGATTGCAGGCCAGGAGGGTAGCTAGAGGTTGCACCTGGTGTGCCTTGAGAATGGTCAGCTCAGCCAGTTTTGGCCAGCTGAAGGTCCCAGAGGACCCCCGAGCCAGGACCAGCTGCATGCATGTGTGTACGACTTCTCTGTGCACATGCAAAGGCTTTACGCTTGGTTGTATGCGCTGCAGCCGCCGCAGCGCCCACCTCAAAATGCTTCATAGTTTTTGGACAAGGAGCTGGCCTTGTTCCCTGGACCCGCAAACCGTTAGCGCAAGCTAACCGGAGCCCCACCTCCACACACACCCCTGCCCCGTGACACTGCCCTCTGGTGGACAAGATCGGCAGTGCCTCCTGCCTGTCCTAAAGACTCCTCTCTGCGCGCTTTGCCAGTTTCAGGGTCACCGGACTGGGCGGGAAGGCAGAAGGTCTCTGAGAATGTGAGTTCAGGTCCCTGGTCCCACGCCTGCACTCTGTGGAGGCGCTGCTTCCCTCCGTAAGCTGGAAGGGGGAAACAAACATGGGCCCAAAGGAAGCGCCGCTTCATCACTGCGTTTGCTCTGGAATTGGCCTCTTGCAAGGTTGCTTCTAATCAGGAAAGAACAAATGAGGTGCCTGCAGGCAGAGAGGCTCTTGATTTGATTTGAGTCTCCAGGTGTGCCCGGGAAAGCGGCTCCTGTTGGGTAAATAAGGAAGCAACGGGGCGAAGGGATTTGCTGCACGGCTGGTGTGCCCGCAGGGGGTCCCCTGGCAGTCAGCGGGCTTCCTGGAGAAAGGAGGAGAAGGCCCAGGACTGGAGCCGGGGGGGGGGGGGGGGGGGGGGGGGGGGGGGGGGGGGGAAGAGGCAAAATAGCAGCGTCTGAGCAGGGAGGGAAAGCTGCTCCCCAAGGCCTCCTGGCTCTGGCTGCATTCCCTGGGGCCCCCCAGATGATGCAGTATGATGACAGCAGGTAGGGGGGCTTGCCTTGCACGCAGCCAGCCTGGGTTTGATCCCTGGCATCCCCTACATTCCCCAAGCCCTCCAGGAGTGATCCCTGAGTGCAAAGCTAGGAGTAAGCCCTGAGCACCACCCAATGGGACTCCAAAACAAAACGAACAAAAGGAATTCCTCTTCCAACAAAAAGGTGTTTCTCTGAGGAAGGGGATCTTTTCTTTATGAGTGAAGAGCCCCTGAGATCCCGGGCAGAGGCTGCTACGGGACCTGGTGCCCTGGCAGTCACTGTCTTTTTGACTCAGGGACATCTCAGTGCCCTCAAAGAGACTGTGATGGCAGGGGAGACCCTGGCGATGTCTAGTCTCAGTATCCCAATAGGCTAGCAGCGCTCTGACAAGGAACAGCGATGGGCACGAGTTTATGCAGGACAGAGAAGCAGATAACCTGATTCCTGTCCCAACGCCAAGTGTACTGGTCCCCTCTCACCCTCACAGTGGTGACTGTGATTCTCTCTCGGTCTCTGTGTGTGTGTGTGTGTGTGTGTGTGTGTCTGTCTGTCTGTCTGTCTCTCTCTGTCTCTCTGTTTCTCTCTCTCTGTCTCTCTGTCTCTCTCTGTCTCTCTGTCTCTCTCTCTCTCTCTCTCTCTCTCTCTCTCTCTCTCTCTCTCACACACACACACACACACACACACATACACACACACACACCTCCCTGCCTGGCTGTGCTGCCAGATTCACACTCTCCCTCCTGTGCTCTGATGCAGCTGGAGGAGAAATCACAGAAATCATAGCAAGACCCAGAAATCAGGGGAAGGGGTTGGCAGGGGCTGGCAGGGGCGCACCTCACCTCCAAGCCCCCCGCGACCCAGGCCAAGAGCCTCCTGTGGCTGGGCCCCTTGGCTTACCTTTGAGCCCTGGTCCTTGTCACAATCATGGCCAGCAGGGCTGGGGTGTTGGGGGGACACCCACTGACCCATCCTCTACACTTCTGCACTAAGGCGGCTGAGGATTCAGGGGAGGAAACTCGCCCAGGAGCAATGGGCACCTGCCCCGCTCCAGCCGGGTGGCGTGAACAGTAGACACTGCCCATGCCCTTGCCTGGGAGGCCCAGGTACCCGCTGGTGACCCCGCTAGGGAGGTGGGGCTCTCTGCTTGGGGTACAGGTGTCCACCTCCCTGCTGTGTCCCCCATGGCCTTTCCTGGATGTGTGAGTAGCAGTGGGATCTGGTCTCTTCCTGTCTTCTGGGGCACTCAGAGCCCCCACCCCCATCCCTGCCTCAGTGGACCCTGGTGACCTCCCTGATACCCTACCACCAAATGCTGTCACACTGAGGAGGGCCTCAGCCCATAACTTTGGAGGTTGGGGTGCACACAGACATCCCTCCCCCTGCAGTGTCTCCCTCCCAACCCACAGACCCAGGCTCAGGGCCAGAACCATAGACCATAGCTTGCATCTTCGACCTGGCTTCCATCCTTCACACCCCACCTGGTCCCCTAGGCCCCACCAGCCATCAGCCATGATCCTTGAGCACAGAGCCAGGAGTCAGCCCTGGGCACTGGCACTGGGTGTGAACCAAAACCAAAGCAAACTAACAAAAACAAAAACAGCAACAGAATTCAAGCACTCCGGTCTGCTTATCTGCTGGTCCCAGGTTTGCTTCTTTCCTGGTGCTCAGGGGGCTATGGCAGACCCCTCGCCTTCCCTGCAGTCCCCCTCCAGCCCCTCCGACCTTCTCTCCTCCTCCCCCCG